CTTTTCACCCCACCCAGCCCTATCTATAGAAGGGCTCTGTGTCCTTGTGTGTGTGTGCAGGTGTGGACGACTAGCTCCTGGGGCAGTGTGCGTACGCTCCACCCGCCCCACTACGACAGCGTGACGGCCTTTGCGGTCATCGATGAGGGGCAGAGGTTCTTCTCCGCCAGCAGAGACAAATCTATCAAGGCACTCACACACACACACACACACAGAGAGAGAGAGAGAAAGAGAGAGAGGGACGGGGGAGAGAAATGTGCGCATCTGTCTGTCTGTCTGTCTGTCTGTCTGGTCTGCAGTCGTGGGAGACGGCTGACCTGCAGGCGTCCTCGCACATGCTGCACGCACACGACGACTGGATCTTCGTACGTATACTCTCACACACACCACCACCACCACCACCACCGCTTTGCGTGGTGTTTTCCATGTATGTGTGGATATGGGTCCTGTCTGCAGAGCCTGGTCGCAGCGCCTGCCGAGCGGCTGCTCTTCTCGGGTTCCAAGGACACTACCGTGAAGGTGAGTGAGTCGAGTGGAGAGACAATGTGTCTCTCTCTGACTTGACTCACTCAACCGAACGAACATACCCAATCAATGCCATGGCATTGCAGGTATGGGACTACAACCTGCGGCACAAGGGCGACCTGCAGGGACACACCGTCAGACACACACACAGAGAAATAAACTAAACAGACAGACAGACATGGAAATCTGTCCATGCCAGCCAATCTGTCTGTCTGTCTGTGTATCACTCACTCTGTCTGTCTATCTATCAGGGTGCGGTGTCGTCTCTGTGTGCGTTCAACGGGTTCCTCTTCTCGGCCTCCCACGACAAGACGGTACGCGTGTGGCTGCTCAACGCTGCCGCCGCTGGTGGTGGCAGCGGGGCGGAGGCACAGCTGCATGGAGGGGCGGATGGGGAGGAAGGGGGAGAGAGGGGGCCTGGGGGTGGGGGGGCCGCGGCTGGCGACGGAGAGTAGATAGAATGGAGGAGGAGTTGGTGGATGCATGTGGATGTGTGTGTGCGTATGTGGCAGTGCGTGCCGCAGACATCCAGCGCACCTACGAATGTGCTGTCTGATTGAATCACTGGATGGATGGATGGATGGACATACTGTGTGTGGTCCGGGCAGACGCTGCGCGCTGCGACACCTACCTCATGGACTCATCCATCCAGCGATCGATCCATTGAATGTCTGTCTGTGCTACTTGGCCCTTTTGACGAGTGCCACATAGAGCGGCCCACACCCCATAGATCTGTCCGGCAGGCACACGACACCCACACGCGTGGCCTCCCAACACACCCGCACTCCCACACTCTTTGTACTACTCATGCAATCTCCCCCTTGTGCGTCTCCATCTGGTGGACGTGTATGTGGACTTATGTGTGCCTTGTACATGTCCATCATCTGTGTGGGGGTGACGGCCTCGCACTGCACACACGAGGGGTCCCTGGCGGCACGCGACAGCAACCTCTCTATCACCTGATAGATCGACCGTCACGCACACGCGTACACATACACATACACAGGAGGAGAAGGAGAGGGGCGTCGCTCACTTGGTCGTTCTCCACCTCAGAGAGGGCGCATGTGGAGTACAGCAGATGGCCCCCCTGACACACACACATCACACATCCATCCATCCATCCATCGAGCCGTCCACTACTGACCCATTCGTGTGCCCTGACTGACTGGCTGGCTGGCTGGCTGGCTGACCGGTTTGAGCATGCCGAGTGCCGCCGTGGCAAGCCGCAGCTGACGATCGGCATGGCCCTTGGGCGTCCCTGACAGACACACAAACGCACACGTCTGATGTGATGTGGGTCATCCATCAATGTGCGTGTGCTGCCACTGACTGACCTGAGGCCCATTTGGCGAGTCCGCTTGGTCCGCTGTGCAGCAGATGTCGGTCAGATGTGCATGGCGCGTCCAGCAGCACACCGTCAAAAGGAGCTAGCAACGCTGCATTAGCATTACACCCCCCCCCTCTTTCTGTGTGCTCTGTGTGTGCTTCCTTCCTGTGTGTGTTGGGCTTACCGACTTGCCGTGGGTTTGCGGCGTCATCATTGGTGAATGTGACGCATTGGCCGTGGTCGAGCAGTTCCGCCGGCAGGAATGCCCTCAAGGTAGCGGCCAAGCGGTCCAGTCGCGGGCGGCTGTGCTCATTGCACACCAGCCGACCTGTTGTTGCTGTCCTGTGGCCATGACCATGATCATGGGCATCTGGGGTGCCCTCTGCATCAGCACCAGCCATGGCAGGAGCAGCAGAAGCGAAGATGCGGCTGGCGAGAACCAATGACTTCCCACCGGGGGCCTACACACACTTACAGCACACATACGCACATCCACCCATCCATGCATCACGCAAATGAGAGAATTATATGAGAGTTCATTTCTCTCTCCCTCGCTGTCTGCCTGTCTGTCTGTCTGTCTGTCTGTGCGTCTGCTACCGCGCACATATCGAGGACAGTTGACGGGCCGGCAGGGAGGGGAAGGAAGAACAACGATGCCGCCGAAGCAGCGTCTACACACAACACACGCACATATGAGTACCCTCACTCCGCCCTCCCTCCAACTCTCCCACGCACGTACCCAGCCAGTAGATGACCCCTTGTTCGTCTTGTCGGCTGCCGGCGGCTTCTGCGCCCTCAGCACCATTGCTCTGGCCGTGCTCCACCCAGCAGAAAGGAACGCCTTCGATGGGCTGCATGCCTCTCCTCCTCACGAGCTCATCTGCATGCCTCTCGAAGGGGCTTACCAAGGCCGCGTGGCTCTTGGGACTCCACAGAGCTGCACCGCCAACAGGAAACAGAGTGATTGGACGTGATGTGGCGTAGGTGCGTACCAGCATAGAGAGATCTCCATCTATCCTGCCCGAATTGCTTGGCGTTGGTCGCGTGCCACCCCGACAGACCCTTGACGCTCATCTCACACACACACAAAGGCGGGATCTGGAGGAACGGAGCCCGTATCTCGTAAGGGGAAGTCGCGTAGCGGACGGACGATGAGTGCGCGCTTAGCCAAACCCCGTAACCCGAACCCTGATCTCTCCGCGTGGTATCAGAGGCTGGCCAGTCGCAGGGACAATAGGAAAGCCATGCAGTGCGTGAGGCGTTCGGTTCGTCTGCTGATCTTGGACAGCAACTTGCTCAAGTTCGACAGATGGGTGGGCCAGGCTGCGAAGACCTCCGGCGGAGAGGGTGGCAGCACCACCACCCACACTATCAACAGCACCGCCAGCAGCGGCAGCGTTGAGGAGCAGTACGTGCAGATCAGCAGTGGGCTGGGCGGTTCCCCGTGCCTCGTCGTCGACTCGAGCAACGGCAGGTCGCAGCTGGCTCTCAGCACGGTACACACGGATGTGGGCGGGCAGTGAGTGGTGTGATGGGGGGTCTGCAGTCTGATCAGACCAGCATCCGCACCCGGACTCTGATGGTGCATGCGATGACGCCATGTCCTCTTCTCTCCTGCGGTTCGCTCTGTGTGTCGTGCAGATTCAGTGTGTTCGCATGATGCCTCAGCTGGTGCTGTGCTGTGTGGAGCCGTCGCCGGCAGCGGCGGCTAGCGGG